CAATGAATTGGAAGACAGGGACATGCCCGGAACTTCAATATTTTCAAGCAGGCCATCCTCCACAGGCAAACGAAGAAAATGAAGGATGCATTGTGCTTTTGACTTTGAACCAACATACTCAGCAATTTCATTCCAGTTCTCATTGTGTATTTCCATTGCCTCGAGCAGCAGTAGGGTTTCTTGATCAGTCCAACTTTCCCCATCCAGATCACCATAATCTTTTGTTGAATCCATCCTTATGAAATCTATGCTTGAATGACCAACAACATATCTTCCCTCGTGGAAGCAATTAGAGCACAGCAGTACATCAACCTGAAGCACAAGACACCAATTAACTACAGTAGAGAATAAGAATTCAACCAAACTATACTAAGAATTAATATAAATAATTGGGTTCAGCTACAAGGATCTTTTGTCTCCACTCAAACTCATCAAGGTGACGTACTATCTTTTAACGTATAAAGGGAAACTTCAACATCATTCAAATATAGCTCGGGGTTTCAAATGTGTTTCTAATGCTTGAAATAGACCTGGAAGAGAATTAGTGCCTTGAAGGCTGTTGAAATTAAGAAGTTAACCTTTGGTTTATGCTCATCAGGTATCGGCACAGGCTAGTCAATTCATATGTTTGCAGCTAATCTTTTATTTGAAAATTCACAAATTAAAAGGGCTGCTTATTTTAAAATTACAATAAGATTTTCTTTCCTTTTATAATCCTTTAATTTAACTAATTGAAGCCCGTAAAACAATATCACTTGTGCTCAATATCTTATTAAATCAAATAGAAGCAACTTTTGAACTAAATAAACCCCATTTTAGATTTTTTTTTTGTTTAATAATATCCTTCTACTGTGAAGGGAAAAAATATATAAGATGAATAAGTCAATTTATCAAGGGAAAAATCCTAGGCTAAGAAAGTTCCTTAATAAAAGGCAAAATCTTATAAGTTTGAATTAACATGAAATTAAAGTCAGCTTAACTACCTATCTATCTATATTTGGTTATGAACTACCTATCAGATGGTTTTAAAGCTTTAGAGGTATAGTTGTGTCCAAACTTGGCCCCCTCTCTCTAACTTTTAGGTATTAACTTCATACCAGATGGTTTTAAAGCTTTAAAGGTGTATTCGTGTCCAAACTTGAACAAAGACTTGAACTAGCATTGCCATTGATAGAGCCACCAGCTATTCTGCTGGCGTTTACATAAAATAACATAACGGGCTAAAATACATGAGGTCTCGAGGACATGCTATTAATAGTAATGCATCTAATATGGAAAAGGAAAATGTGACATTGTGCTAAAGGTTATCACAAGAACCAGTATAATGCTCAATATCAAGTCATGAAAGTTCAATTGCACTTGAGGATGCCAATAAGTTGAGTCAGTTTAGATAAGCTAGTTAAATTTTCATCGAAAATTATTGTGGTATCTTGCAGTGGCCTGGGAGTCACATCAACATGAAGGTAACATGCCAGCAAGTACTGCAAATTATTATTCTTTGTTCCTGCAGTTTCATTCATCCTCTAAAGAAAAAATACCACCCATTTGATAGAATTATGGACAAACGAAACATAACATGAATGAGATGATAGATATGTACCTCCTTCTGTGACTGATAGTATACATTAGGAAGAGAACAAGAACAGTAATTGCAATGGTTTTCAGATAGACGCTTCCGAATTGTGTTGTCCAAATCAGAGACATCATCATCATCATGACATGGCAATGACGAATAAACTTCAGCTGCCTTGAGCCTACATCTGGGCTTGTCAAATTTGATTAAACTATCAATGGACTTAAGATCAGCTGATGGCACTTGAATCTCACCATTTACTTCCTCCCTTAAGTAGGAACTGCCATTCCACGGCTCATGACTGGGTGCTTCAGCACAGTAATTGATAATTCCCCAGTGATCAAGAAAACGGATTATTCGAGTCAAATCTTCAGTACTTAGACGACCAGATAATTGTGGGAAATCAGAAAATGCAAGCCTCTTCTCTGGATTTTCCATGTATTTGGCAACAATTTCATTCCTACAATGCATGTATAGCTCAGGAGTATGATCTGATGATTTTCCTGAGAAAAAATGCGGCACCACCTGTCTCTCCAACCGATGCACTGCGGCAGGTAAAAACCAATCTGCAAACAGGAGAATCCCAACAAAGAGAAATCCATATTTAATATGCATCTACATACACAAAAATGCATAATAAACATGTATAGCGGTTTGCAACAAAAGCAATCTCAGAGCTTTAAGGTGCAGAAAATATAGAATCTATGCGATACTCGCTTAGGAATCCAAATCATTTAGAGGTTAGCAGAGTCAGAACCCAAAAGTAAATCTTTTGTAATTACATAACTGTCATATTGTCTGTCCAGGTCAGCAAACCAAACAATAGACAAGTGTCGAGTCAGGTCAGTTCAGTTATTAGGCTACCATGATAGTTCCATAAGACACCAGCATAAGAGTACAACAAAGATACTCCAGAAAAACCAATCTCGAAATGGGTTATTAAATATAAAAACTTCCCAGCCACTTTCTTGCACAACAGAACAAGTATGAAATCCTGCAGCTAACAAAAAAATACTCAGAAATTCTACTACTTTAGCAACTGTTTTCCACTTTATTGAGCTCACAAGTAACTAGATGTCAAGAGAGAGTTGGACAACCATATATACCTGCGTGCATTGGAACCACATTAACTCTGTTCCCAAACCGCTTCACAACGCCGTGGCCTTCCATAATCGAAGGCGGAGTGACCACGTAAGCCGCCACGGAGCCATCTGCACGGTCCGGATCCAGCGCCGGACTATCAGCAGACACGGCGGACAGCGCCTGGAGCTGACCGTACGACACATTCTCCAATAAAATGGAACTGGCGGGCCCCTTGGTGTCCCCGCCGGAATGATAGCCTCGCTCGAGCGCAACGAGGGCAAGAACGGAGGAGTGGGGCCGGTTGACAGTGCGCAAAACGACGGGAGGGAAGTCACTTACGCGGACCCCACCGTCCAGGACCTCGGTCTCGTGAGGGGCGGGATCAGGTGCTGCAGCGGATGGGGGGTTATGTTGGGGGTCCTTCGAGTCGTCGTTCGGGTCGAGCTCGTTGTCGTCGTCGGCGGCGGCACAGGCGTCGTCGTCTTCGTCGTCGTCGTCCTCGCGCTTGTTCCGGCGAATTTGGGGGTCGCGCTTTCGCTTCCTCCATTTGCCGTGTGAGTCTGGAAAATTCAAAACAATGTTGGAGTGAAAACAGAAATTGTGGAGTGCGGATTGCTGTGTGTGTAATCAATTGAAATGTGAGTCTGAATTTCTAGAGAGAGAAAGAGGTGTAGGGAGAGGGAGAGAGAGAGAGAGAGAGGGTTTAGGTCTGAGTCTTACCTGAAGGAGAAGCTGGCATTTTTAGGAGAGAGAGTGAATTGGAAATTTGTGGGGACTTTGATTGGCGCAAAATTAGAAATCAAAGGCAGAGACACACACAATCACAGACAGAAGAGAGAGAGAGAGAGAGAGAGCCTAGTGCTTTGCCTTCTCTGTTTCTTCTCAGCTTTGTGTTTTTGCTTGCTTTGCTGAGCTAATTCTAGTTTTCAGGGTTTTCCTTTTTCTTTTTTCTTTTTTTTTTTTTTTGGGTTTAATATTTCTTTTTTCTTTTTTCTTTTTCTTTTTTTTTGGGTTATTTCTTTCATAATCGCTCAGCGCGTTGTACATGCACTTGGTAGAATCGTAACTTCTTTTTTTCTACACTTACAACGCACGATATGTACGCACTTAATCAATTATTTGGTTGAATCAAATCACTCATGCACGTAACTACTTCCTTCTTCAATACTAACAATGTAGATCGTACATGCACTTAATCTGTATCTGGTTATGTACAATGCTAGCAATCTTTCTCATTGGATATTTTAAACTCTCCTTCTCATTCTCGTAATGTTACATTTCAATTCCAACAGTCTATTTTTTAAGTCATCCTTTAAAAATCAAACTACCAAAAATCATTCAAAATATTAAATCGTTTAGTCGTGTTAAAATTATTTAATAAATAATTGAACCATGTTATTAAGTTAAAAACATAATTATATTGGTCATCACACTCTTTGGTCAAACTAACTCACTATTGCCTTGCCTTTGACTACTTTCTTTTTATGTACTTCAATATGTGTAAATTAATTCTTCTTTATACCTTTTTTTTTTTTTTTTTTTTTTACAAACGATAACGTTAATGAATTAAATCGTTAATTGTTAAAAAGAATGAGATCAGTGAGAATTGTACTCACAATTAGTACATAAACATCTTTGCTTTCCTCTGCTTTGCACTTACAATCAAGGCCGCTCCAGGCTCAATGCGGGCAAGGCGACCGTCCAAGGCCCAAAAAATTTAGGGGCACCAAAATTATTAGTGTGGCATATTTATATACGTTTTGGTATTTATAAAATTTGGTTTAATGACAAAGAAATTTAACTAGAATCGGGGATTTTGTTGTTTGAAATTAATGAGGAAGTATTGGGTTCAAAACATCATGCGTGCTTATTTAAATTCCAATTTTACAAATTTCTTTTTATAATAGTATAAATTTAAGGAAAACTAATGAAAATGGCTTGAAAACTTTGAGTTTTAACGATAAGGACAAACTAAAGGGTAAAGTGAATAGTACCAGGATTAATTTTTTACTGTAAAAATGTGGTTTTTCGTTAAAGTAAACAGTACCGCGGGCTTTTCGTTAAAACTCCCATAAATTTATAAAATTTGGCTAGATGATTAGAAGTTTAATTAGAAGCAATGGTTTTTGTATTTAAAATTAACGAGAGGTTCTAAGTTCGAAATGCTATGTGCATGTTTATTTTTTTCAATTTTTACAAATTTTTGTTTGATTGTTAATTTATTTTTAATTACTGGCTAGTAACTATGTGGGTTGCTATTTTTAAACATTTGTTCCAATTCAAGTCTAAAATTCAACAAAAGATAATGCGTAGACTAATTTTTTAGACCAAATTTGCAAATCATATGACGAGGGAGAATTTTGAGAAGGGGATTTCAACCATAAAATCTCAGGCATGTTCTTTGTCTCTTGGAGAAGCATGAACGCCCCCTCTCCCACACACACACCCCAGAGGAAAAATGGATCTTATGTCTTACACAACGTAATTTATTTTTTCAGGGTGGAAAGATCCTTACAGGCGGATCGGTTATCGAGTCAGATGGCAATTTTGTTCAACCAACAATTGTTGAGATTGCTTCAAATGCTTCTGTGGTGAAAGAAGAATTGTTTGGCCCCGTTCTCTATGTTATGAAGTTTAAGGTAGTCCAACTTGTGAAAAGTTTATCTTGCATTATTATTTTCTATGCGCTTCTTCTCCGATAAATGTTGCGGCTTTTGTTCGAAAATATGCAGACTCTTGAAGAAGCAATTGAACTGAACAATTCAGTACCACAAGGACTGAGTAGTTCAATTTTCACAAGCAAGCCGAGTACTATTTTCAAATGGATTGGGTAAGTGTCTAAAATGGGTGATGAGATTAGAAAGTGACCAATTTTCTGACAAAGGGATATTTCAAATTACAGTGTTTTAACTGTTTGCATTCGAATACAATGCAGGCCACATGGTAGTGATTGTGGTATAGTGAATGTAAATATACCTACAAATGGAGCTGCGATTGGCGGTGCCTTTGGCGGAGAAAAGGCAACTGACGGTGGTCGTGAAGCAGGGAGCGACTCCTGGAAGCAATATATGAGGCGTTCAACATGGTAATCTTTCATATCTAAATTGATCACATATCTAAGTTGATTGCGGGACTGTTTTATGATTGTTTCATCATTGACATGAGCAATTCTTATCCTTGACAGTACAATCAACTACGGGACTGAACTACCACTTGCTCAGGGTATAAATTTCGGCTAGTGAACCAGGCGTCACAGCAAAGCTCGGTCTAAACCTTGGTCATGACATGTCAAGGAAAAGGTACATTCTGCCGAATCTGCTGCTGTCATGGTTACGAGTACCGTGCCAGCTTGAATGTGTGAAAAAGAAACATGTGTCATCAAAAGGTTTAATTTGGTGCCCGTTCATTACTTATACATATCCCTAAAGACTCAAAAGTATCATTATTTTTTTAGTCTTACATTGACGAGGTTACTAAATAAGAACGATTTATACAAAAACACTTTAAAAGTTCAAATGGAAGACAAAACTCATAATCTATCTACTTGTATAAGCTTGAAGTCTTTTGGTTTCCTTCTCTCGATACAAAATAAATTAGTTTTTTCGTATTTCTAAATTACTGAGTTTGAAGTGTTTTTCTAAATATAATTTTATCAATGTCTTACGTGTAAAAACAATTAATAATTTTTTTTATATGAAGTGAGGGCACATTTTTTCACATTGCTCCGGGCCTCAAAAATCTTTGGACCAGCCCTGCTTACACTGCATCGTTCTTACACTTATCTATGATTTCTTCTTTTCTATACTTCGAAAGGATTAAATTTAAGATGTTCTAGAATTTGAACATTAACAAAAAAGAAAAGAAAAAAAAATCTAACTTTTTGTAGATGTGACACATAACCTAGCGCAATGGCGTTCTATGATTCATATAGCCGACCCCACGTAGTGGAAAAATGCTTTGTTGTTGTTGTTATTGTTGTTGTTAACTTTTTAAACTCAAAAATACTTTTTAAACTTGTTTGACAGGACTATTTTCAAAATTTGAATTTAAGACTAATTTTTAAAAAAATAACCTACTCTCTAAAAACATCAAAAATGAGTTTTTAGAGTTCTTAAACTTAAAGGCCTCGTTTGGCAGCTCGTATAAGGAACCGGATAGTACTAATAATACGAACCTAGTTGTTTGGTGCATAATGTGTAAAATAACCACCGGATAAAACAATCCGGTCCCACAATTTTAATACACTCTACACCCGCTTAGTTATCCTCTCCTATACGCTGGTATAATTTAGTCAGGCGTTCGCTTTTCTCTAACCCTCTCTGCTTCTGCGCATCGCGACCAAGTTGTTGCCGCTCTTTTTCCCTCCGTCCATCCTAACTGCCAGCAGAGGCTCCAGTGACGGAGGAGCCCAATAAGGAAGGATAACTAGCTAGGCAGACGAAACTCAGAACTCCATAAGAGAGGAAGTCTGTACAGCCAACACCTAATATTAAAACCGTCGCTCAGCCTCCATACTTTCAGTTACTTTAATTTGTGATTTTAGATCCCGATTTCTTCATTTTCTCCATTTTTAGCTTCTGGGTTTTCTACTTTCAGGCACTTTAATTCGCGATTTCATATCGATTCTTCATTATCTCCATTTTTTGCTTCTGGGTTTTCAATTATGGTGCTCAAATCGAGATTTCTGATTCAATTTTTGCATCTAGAGCGCTGCAGTTGAAGAACTCGGCAGCGAGAGGGAAGCTGATCAAGATCAGGGCTTCGTACAAGCTCTTCAAGGCAAGCAAGATGGAGAAATGTGCACAAACAAAATCAAAAAGACCTCATTTGTGGATTATTCTGTCAATTTATTTTCCCTTTTATTCATTTTATTAACAATTTTTTTCTTAAAACTAATATGGAAATTGTTTTTGATAAAAAATGATAACAGTACGATTTATATAGTACAATACCGAACACAGTATTAAAGAGTTGATCTTTAGTCCAATACTGCACCAAACGCCTGACTAATTTAGTCAGTCCTATCCGGTGACTATTTATCCTATCCGATTGAAATAGTCAGTATAGTCTAAACTGCCAAACGAGCTCAAAGTTCACTTCTTTTTTTTCTCTCTCCTCCCCTCTTACTCCAAATCTCTCTCCTCCCCTCTCATTTTACTTGTTTCTCTATCCTCCTCTCTCCTCCATTCCACTCACTTGATTCTTTATTCTTTTTCTCTCCTCCTTCTCGCTATCTCCTTTGACCATTTTCTCATTTTTCTCTCTCCTCCTGTCATCTATTTCTTTCTTTCCTCTTTCTCCCTTTCATTCGACCTCTCTCTTTAGATCTTTTTGTCCAGTTTAACTTTTAAGATTTAAAATAATTTTAAATCTCATACCAAACAAATATTTGAGTCTTAAAAAAAATTGTTTTCAAAATATATTTTTAAGAAATGTTTTGAGAAACGATGATATTATTTTAATAGATACCAAACAGACCCTAAAACGATTTGGGCTTGGAATTGATCCCAAATAACATAAACCAGTTTGGGCTTGGCCCCATGCATATTGATGAACCGAACTTCCCTTTTTACCCTCATGCCTCTCCTACCTTTCCCTCTCCGCCGGTCTGGAGGGAATTGCTCTGCAGACCTCAGAAAATTCTTATTCGTACCCACCATTTCCATGCTCCCACTGCACCTGAGGTCTCTCTCAACCATGAGCAAGCGACAAAGACCCATCGATTCTCCTCCATCGACCCCCCAAACTCCGCAAACCCACAACTCCAAAAGACCCAAATTACCCCTCGTACCCACCACCAAGTGGGTCCCACTCAACCTCACCCAATCGGAGCTCTCCCTTCCCCTCACCTTCCCCACCGGCCAAACCTTCCGGTGGCGGCAGACTGGCCCTCTCCAGTACACCGGCGTCGTCGGGTGCCACCTTGTCTCCCTCAAGCACCTCCCGAACGGCGATGTTTCTTACTGCCTACACAGCACCACCTCCTCCGAGCGCGGCGGCGCGGAGACGGCCCTGCTCGATTTTCTCAATATGGGTATATCTCTGGCGAGAATGTGGGAGGTTTTCTCGGCGTCGGATTCGCGGTTCGCCGAGCTCGCTGGGTATTTGGGCGGGGCTAGAGTGCTGCGGCAAGACCCGGTTGAATGTTTGGTTCAGTTTCTTTGTTCGTCGAATAACAACATTCAGAGGATTACAAAAATGGTGGATTTTGTGTCGTCGTTGGGGAACCATTTGGGGTCTGTTGGTGGTTTTGAGTTCCATGAATTTCCATCTTTGGAGCGCTTGTCGATGGTGTCAGAGAAAGAGTTCAGAGAAGCTGGCTTTGGCTATAGGTCTGTCATTAATAATCACTTTATATATATGTATATTGTTTGCTTAACCGTAGCGTGGAAGCACTAACTAATTAGTAAGTTCGTACGGCGCTAACCATTTGTTTGGGTCCGCGCCGCGGTTTGATCTTATCTCGTGTTTTGAGTTGTTCACTAGTATTCAAAGATCATCGTTGCAAAACTTCACCGATCTCGGAAATCATTTAGCCATTTGATTATTACCTTAAACATTTAGAGTTTGTGTCTGTCTATTTTTCTGTTCACAATTAGATACTTTGTAGGGATGTTTTTCAATCATGAACTAAAAATTGATGGGTTCAGATCATGGGAATTATTGTGGAATGGTTCAGAATGTGTGGTTAATGTCGTGGTTAGTGCTTGAGTGTCTACTTTGTTTGTGTGTGTGTGTAATATATATAGGGTTTGTTGGGTTGTAAAGTTTACAACATTGAGATCTGGTTTGTTGGGTTGGTTTGTATGGGCAGGGCCAAGTACATTACTGGCACTGTAAAAGCTTTGCAGTTAAAACCTGGTGGAGGTGCAGGGTGGCTTTTGTCTCTGCGTAAAATGGAGCTTGAGGGGGTGATTGAAGCTCTTTCGACTTTGCCTGGAGTTGGTCCCAAGGTGGCGGCATGTATAGCTCTATTCTCGCTCGACCAACACCATGCCATTCCTGTTGATACACATGTGTGGCAGGTATGCTCTTACTGCTCAAATTTCTATTTCACAAGTCACAAATGCATTATGTGCTGCTATTAAATTTTGTTCATAGCTTCTTGGTGTGTTGTTGATTGGAATTGTAGCGTATGTGCATTGTTTATAAAATCCATGAAGTGCTGATGTTTCAATGATTTTTGGATGAGGAAGATTGCTACAAGATACCTCATACCTGAGCTAGCAGGTGCTCGTCTGACACCTAAGCTCTGTGTCCGTGTGGCGGAGGCATTTGTGAGTAAATACGGGAAATATGCAGGATGGGCTCAAACTGTGCTTTTTATTGCTGAACTACCTTCACAAAAGGACCTTCTACCAGCTCATTTTACGAGTGCAAAAGAGAGTAAAGCTACCAAGAAAAAGGATCGTGAATCGCACACTGTCGTGGATACTTCAACTGTTGATTAGTGACTTGACAATTGGAATCTGGACGTTTAAGTTAAAACCTTATAGTTAGATGATTTCATCACTTTTATTATGCGGCAAGGCGTCTAATTGTTAAATACTGCAGTACTGAAGCTCAGTGTGCAAGACGATTTTCTCCAACATAATGAACTCCTTGCAAATCAGAACTCTGTAAGATGAATGAACGTGGGTTACGCGCTGCCTATTGGAAGGCCAGGTTCACATTGCATTCTATGAATTTTTCCGTCACCTATTTCTTTCAAAGCTCATCCGCTCATTCTCATTCCGGTGCACGTTGGTCTTTCCTCTGCATCATCACTGCTTGTATTTCTTCCTTGTTAAGGTACATTTCTAGGCGGTCATATTATTGGATTTCAGTAGATTACAAATTGATGTTTGTTCAAACATTATTTGCATCTCAATCAAGAATCAAGAAGTGTATTTAATTTATGAAGTTGTTTGGACATAGATTCAATTATATATATATATATATTTCTTTTCATTTTTTATTTGTTACCTTAGATATCGTTGTTTCGTTTATGTGAACGGAGATTGAAGTTGGCTACTAACATTATTTGACAAAAACTTGAACGAGAAGCTTAGAACCCTCCAAACTTTATTTCAAATATAATACGATGACACCTCATATCCTTTAGGTAATACTCTACACTTGTGGAGAGTTGTATAAGCAATTTATACCTGTATGTAACAGATGACCGAAAACTATACTTGCATCACGTGCATTGTGCATCGACCAACAGAGTTTTGCTGATGCCTGGGCATGGATCGCCAAACCTGTTCTTCGATAGAAGGATAGAACATCTCCTCTTACCAATGCAAACCTGAAATATTAAACCATCATAAGAAACATGCACGATTAGTTCTTTCGATTTTGGGGCAACAAAATGGAGCTCTGAGACTGCTGTAAAACGGTAAGTGATGCTTCACCTGCTCTACAATTGCTGTAGAAATAGATGAGTGGCAGCTTCCGGTGGAATAATTTTGACAATCACCAGAAGGGTTGCCAAAGCTTGCGAACAAGACCTTGGAGATGTTCCTCTTGGGAGGACAACTGAGCTGAACTTTTGGCCTTCTGTCGCGGTACTTTCTAGTGTTGTTTTGGTTGTGAGTTTTCAGACCTAACCATTTGACTACTGGGGGTAAATGTGTCTCGGACACATGCCCGCATACTTGTGCTACTGAAATTTTGTCCAGTGAAACTTTGAGGGGGTCGCCGTTTTCTTCTTCCAGGAGAACTAATAGATTGCTGGTAGGCTTGAGGAAGGCTCGGGGTACATGGTACCTGAGTAAACGCTTGTGCTTACAAAATATCATCGTAATAACAAATTTACAGGGTTGGTATGAACTCTTACCATGTCTGGGAAGGTTTGCCTTCCGGGGTTTGGAACGAGACCCAATATCGACCGATACTTTGTCCATTGACGAAAGCTTCACCCTTTCCCATGGAACCGAGATTTAATGCAATAGGATCATTTCCTGCTGGTGCATCAAAATGAGTCTGCCAACAGAGACAATGACTTAGAAACAGCCAACGTAACGAAATCAAGATACATTTTTCGTTAACCAATAGTCATACCTTAAACCATTTGAGTCGTTGATTAGCGGTGCTTCCCAACTTATTCCATTGAACTTTACTTGATCCGGCATCTGTGTAGATTTCTAACTTCTCTCCAGACAGCCCAACCTGATAGCCCCATGAGTTTTTGCTCAAATCTCTCTCTTGAATCAGTACTTTACGTAATCCGCCCACTCTACGCTCTAGATATGCTCCCGAATCCTTCAAATAAAACGTAAATTTGACATAAATTGCATGCAGATAACTTGATTGTGACTTGGATTGTGTGTTTCTTTGCTGCAATTATGGTATATATGCAACGGAGAAACAGAAATTGGAAAAAGTGAGACTGAAAAATACCGGTAATCCGACCATTGCGCTAAGAAATGAGAGGGAGTTCACCCCTTTGTTAAGAGTAACAGTCTGCTCCAAGGAAAAACTTTCATTCCTGTGCCTTCCATGTGCAGATCCTAAACAATAACAAAGCATTTCGAAGTATGTAAAGTTGGTGATCAATAAGGCAATCGAACAACAAATCTGAGAGATGTGTGGGGATAGGAAGCAAGATATAGTGAGATGCAAAACTTACCTACAAATACTCCGTTTACAAGCGCGTGCAAGACATGTCCTCGTGATTGAACAACTAATTTAGATTCATTATTTGAATCTTGCTTAAGGCTGCATTTGGACAATCAATCGAAAGGATGTCAGTAAATGATACAGTTAAATTCATCAAATCCTCCGTCTGGTTGATGTTTTACCTGATAGTGTACCAAAGGTAATCAGATTCGTCTTTTGTTGTGAACAATTGCTCTGGCAATGTGTTTGCTCGCGACACAGTGTTGTCAAAATTAGGAATAGCTTCCTTGTACTCTTCCCATCGCTCTGTTGAATCAAACTTTTGGGTTACCTGCCATGATCTAGTAGACTGTTGTGCGTTTACCTGTCGAAGGAGACTTTTCAGTGGTCGAAAAATATGTCTGAAATATCTTAACTAATTGTTGATGGATGTGAACTTACCTTTGCAGTGTTGAAGGCTACAGTTTTGCAGTCTGGCAGGATACTGATTGACTTTCGAGGCAACTGATACGGAGAATTTTGAAAGACAACACTCGCATCTTTAGGTCCCTTGTTCACTAAGAAAGCAGCACATTCTCCAGACTTAACTTGGAATACATAGGCCTATTGAGAAAGATCGAAGCCCTGTTATTCTTATCGCACTCAATCACGGAGAAAGAAATGAAGAAAATGCTGAGAAGTTCTCGTCAATGTTCTTACATCTTGCAGTTCACCCAAAGAGACATTGGTTTGGTCTCCAGAGAGCAGAGAATTGGAGGCTAGCTTTACCGCAGCGTGCAGTTCCTTCAGATGACCCCATTTCGGTTGCCTTACTGAACCTGCAGAACTCAACACGTAAACAGTTAAAATGACAATATGAAAACAGAACACACTCAAATGAAAACGAGTTGTAGAAATCGGAATTCACTTTCTATAAAACACTAACGAAATCGATTCATGAAATCCTACATTCAGAATCTTACCATACTCATCAAGAGGAGCTTCATCATAGTAGCTAGTGATCACAAATGCAGAAGCTGATCTTCCGAAATTGGTTCCTCCATGATACTGGATCAAAACCGCGTTGTCAGCAGAAAACATCATGTTTGATTCAATTCAGTTTTATTAGTTTGATAATTATATCTTGTCAAGATGAACATACCATATAATAATTTACATAGCTTCCTCTGAATTTTGCAATAAACAGTGCAACTTGATACGCGATATCTTCAGCCGATCTTAGTAATGGTTTGTCACCATATACTTGGTATCTTCAAAATCAAGAACAAAATCTTGGCATTAGTTAAAAGCTCGTTTGATAACCATTTCGTTCGATAAAGAAATGGAAAAGAAACTTTCTGTTTAGAGTGTGAAGACGTACTGGCTTGTCCAATTCTCTGTCCATAGTGCTGGCTTATTGGGAGAATTAGGACCAGTAAAGGTTTCTCCACACTTCATTCCATTGCATGTGTTGATCTGCAGATTTCGGGATTTAACTTGTCAAAGACTTAGAATAAAACCGACCTTATACGACAACATAACATGCCAAACTGCCTGACAAACTTCGCAAGCGCATGTGAATGGAAAGTAACTAAACTAACCACGGGATCTGGAGCATCATCTTGTTTGCACATAACCCAGGGCACACCAGTTTGAAGCCCGACCGCCATTGCTGCAGCCCAACGAACATAAGAGGTCCCCTTTCATGAAAAGCTGGTTCTATCATTTTGTACTCGTTCTCAATCTACATATACGTATGCAATACACTGTCAATTTATAGGGTACATTTAATTTTTCTTGCGACTTCCAAGCAAAAATAAACCTGAGCATGCAATGATCCAAATTTGCAGTATGACAATAGAAACATAAACGAATATTGCAATTTATAAGTTTGTGTTATGGAGTATGGGCTTTTTACCTGTGACAATATAATTGGTCCACCTTGTGAAGCGTACAATTTTTCTGATTTCATCATGGTGACTATTCTGGTTGTCCATTTTTCCATTTCAATCTGCCATTAACAAAATGATAACGGATTTCAATGGATTCGAACATGCGACATCTCATTTACAACTAGAAAGAAATACCAGTCCCGAACACATGGTTAAACCCCTTAAAATGTAAGTTATCTACCTTGAATGGTTCATTATCTGATCGATAGACAATGCCAGGAATATCCCTTAACCAAATTGGTAGACCCCTGCAGCATTCCCACCATAACATTAACATGGTAGTAGTATCTAATTGCGTAACATGCTAAACAATCTAACACGTTATGTTGCCAATTGTTCGTCCGCACTATTAGTCAGATTAAATGTTTATTAATATAAGGGTGTTCTGATGCTATAACATGCTAGATAAACGACAAAATATCATTACCCGTATGTCCATTCACTCTCGATGAAAGGTCCGATTCTAAGGGTGACATAAAGGCCTTGGTTTTGGACTTCCTTAATAAAGCTTATTATATCATTTCTTCCACTGAAATCAAACTGCAAAACAAAGACTAACCAGAATCAGAACCATTATTAGTGACTGAGTTAGCAGTGTAATTAAATTAAATTAAAATTAGAATAAGGGAGGGAAGTAAATTCTGACTTTTCCTTGTTGGCGTTCATGAAGGTTCCAAAACACGTATGTTTGTATCACATCTATTCCTCCTTCCTTGGCCTTGGCTATCAAAGATGGCCACATCTGAAAAGGACATGAAATTTGAAAATAAATAACACTTCTGAATGTAAAATTAATGAATAATAAACAATACATAATCATATTGTAAAAACGACATTGAAGAATTGGATTCCGATTACAGAATGCACTTTCAGTCCTTTGTTTACTTAATCTATCAAAATGCACGTTGAGTCTACACGAATTTAGGAATCCAACTCTTCATTTTGAAAGAATTAGACTCCCTTTACCAATTACGCCCTCATTCGGTTCTTATCAGAGCACGAGCACTACAACCACTCCCAACCATTCTCCCTCTCCATCTCCCTTCTCCCTCACCACTGCGCCACCTGCGCCATCAATAACATGGCCAGGCCACAAAACATTTGCAACTCAAATCCGTCAAATCGCCTCACCCCCACTACCTCACATGACCGTCAACTCACTTCGCCCAAAACCCACAAATTGATTCCATAACACCAAAACCTAAGAAAGAAATAGGGCAGACGAATTTCTGGCTTCTGTGGAGGCGACTGGTCAGGGAGACAGCTGGGCTTTGTGGTGGCGGTTGCTGGGTTCCGGGATTTAAAAGTTATTACTTTGGATTAAATTTCAAGGATTGGAATTATGTGCCTTGATGAATTTCGTGAAAAGGATCTCCCACTTCTGGGTTTTATTGCTGGGTGCTGTCGAAGAATTCTTCTCTCTTTAAACAAACAAATTCACATTTTTTTAAAGTTTTTATATTAGCACTGCATAAAATATTGCGCATAAAATATTGAATGTATGCCATATTAAAATTTAATATTAAATAATTGATTTACCCTATTATGTAATGGCAATTTTGATCTTATTAGGTTAAAAAAAATAAAAAATCTATAAATACACCCCAAATCACTTTTAACGTATTATTTATCTTCTTCAACTATCAAAATCCCTCTGACTCTCCATTGTTGAATAAAATCCTAACTAATGAAACTATAAACATATTGATTGAGAAAAATTATTTTTGACGAATGAAATACGAAATCGATGTTTCGGAAGCTTCACATGAGGTAAGACTTCATATTTTGTATTGTTTTAGTGATTTTGACGACATCGATAATTATTTAATCTTGCTTTTGCTGCGTTATTCAAGCTTCTATGTTCGTATTCATCTTTTAGGGATCACAGGGATTACATGAAGAATTAAACACCTAAAATTACCACAAAATATTAAAACATACGACATAAGTTTTAATGGTGGAATTAAAAACAACCCACGTATGTTTTAAATCCTAGGCGGCATCTTTTGTCAAAATTCCAATCGGCATTTTTTGTCCAAATTAAAACCTTTGTAAGATTTGAGAAATGTGGGATGTATAGAAAATATAGGGTACATGTAGAAAATGTAAGGTGTATATTGAGAATGTGAGGTGTGAGAGTATTAGAAGGAAGTATGCGGGGTGTATTAAGATAGTTTTTCATTGAAAAAGAAAATATGGGATGTATTAAGTATATATGATTTATTCAATAATTTGTGGGGTGTATGGACATGAACACAGAAATTCAACACGACACGATACGATGATACATAAAATTAACAAGAATAATTTTTGTATAATCATAAGGAAATACAACACGACACCGAAATACAAGGAGTACTACTGTGTCCATGCTTGGTAGATTATTTGTTAAAGTTTTTACCAGACTTGGAAAATAATTTTTAAAAGGAACGATTTGAACGCATGAAAATTCACATAAACCCCATGATTATTACTTTGCGTAGAAATTTGAGGCAATTACATTAAATCAGGCAATTGGAATCAATATCATACATAATATCATGCAATTGGAAAAAAGAGGAATGTTATCTGCCTTCGATTAACAAATTAAATTATATAATTAATGCAAAATTTTAATTTTTCTCCTTAAAAATAAGATTATGTAATTTAATTTATTAATTAAATACACGTATCAAGTAATAATTAAAAAAATATAAATAAAAAATGCATATGGAGAAAATAGCTAACGTCCTTTTTGAAAAATAGTATGACCTTAATTGAAGTCGTTGACTATAAACACATGGTAACGATACAACGACACCTACTAAATCACTTAACTATTTCTTTGATGATAAAAAGATATAAATAAAAAAAATTACTTCATGAATCCCTAGTACAAATTTAATAGTCACTCGATATTACAATTTGATGGTATTCTTCTTTATTTAGAAGTGACATGTTTTAGATTCGAATCTCATGAATGCCGAATTCGATGCTAAATTAGATTGGCTATTGTATGACTTAGCTAAACTCTCCCTCCACTTAAGATAAAAATGTATGGATGTACTAAAAAAAAAGGGATTTTTTAGCAATTGTTTACCATTTTAACACAGATTTCTCACAAACATAAGTAGATGCAATTTTCTCCGCAATAATATATATTTTCTTGGAAGAAAATCCTTTTCTTTTTTCTAACTCAAAGTTTTCTCAATTAAAGAAAGAAATGAAATACCCATTTTTTTAGCCTTGACAAAAATTTCTTTTGGCTTTTTATCAAAAATATAAAATGAATCTTTTTGCTTTTTTATATTATAGGGACTCTTCTTGGCTTGAATAAAAAGTATTTGAAAAAATGTAGAAAAAGAAAAGGAAAAAACAAATTTAAAACGAGAGGATGCAGCTCTATATACTTGCCTACCTAACACGATGAGAACTGAACAAGCTAAAAGCCCAGAATTTGTATTGTAATAAAACTTTGAAATAAAATTAAACAAAAGAATTATTGACAAGAATGCAATACAGTTTACCTCAGGAGCGCTTCTTGGATAATGAATTGAACCCGAAAACAGAACTTTACGTTCGCCATTGATGATCAATGATCTTCCATCGTACGTAACGTCGCCAGCATCAGAGTTGCAGGCAAAGCTCATTAACAACAATGCAAAACTGCAGAGAAGAAGCCTCACCATCTCCATATAAAATTCCACAGCCTCAAATTTGTTTTTTGTTGCTAAGACTTAAAATTCTGTCACAAAAAAAGGAAAAGCGTTCAAAGATTTCGGGCAGAAACTTATTGTGTTGCTATGATTCTATGAGTAAATGATATGAACATTGATCCATACAAAAAATAAGAAGAAAAAAAAGAGAAAACTCGGGGTCCTTATCTCTTCAACGAACAAAGGGGAGATTTTCTAATATGCTCTCGGAAAACTTCGGAGTATAAATAACCGGAGCGTAGTAGAACTTTGTCGAAAATATACAAATTACTTATATGAGGGTTTCGGACCAAAATAAAGAAAAGGTAAATTAGGGTTTCGTTGGTGCAGCCTACCCTAACTGCAATCTGCTATGATATCAGAGGTTTGGACCCTTTCACTGGCTTCTATAAACTTTTTGAGAGCCTTCAAACATATCCTCTTTGATTTCCTACTACTTATATATATATTCTGTGTCTAGGCCTTGGATTATAATCACCTTTTTGGCTTGGAAACTAATTCAAATCCATTAACAAACCTACAATTTGGGGTTTGTTTTATGGTGTGGGAATCAAGAACGAGCGATTTATTTAGTTGTAAATCAATTAGGATATGCAAGGTGAATACATATTTTATAAGATGGCAATATTAACTGCACCAATTAATTAAACAAAATATATTCAAACATATATATATATATATATACATGAATATAAAAATTATTGTGTTCTTGTCATACTAGTAACGTAAGATGCTTAAATTGTCCAATGCAGAATTTGGACAAACATTCATGTTGATTCTTGTTTGAATGTGTGGTTCAGATTTACAGTTTAACAACATAAATATGATAACAAAACATTACTTTGCATAGCTATAGTATGAGATTAAGAGTGTGAGAAGGCTAATTGAATGGCTCATTAATTTGCTAGAAAAGGTGTAACAAGTGGTTAGCTGCAGCACGCTAACTTGGTTTTGTATTGGTGAGATTGGTGGTTTTATCAGTGTGACACACAAATAACATGTACGTATTCTACCATAACAGATTCTATCACTAAAATTACGTGGACTTTGGTCAATATATATTGCCTTAATTTAGGGGATGTGTAAAATGGACAAATATATTTGAGAATACACTAATTAGAACATGTATACGAAATTGCTCCTGATTAAAGGGGGAAATCAGATAACCTATGTATGACATTTCTTGCCCTTCCAATAGTCAATGTGGGCAAATAAAAAAGGATCACAACTAATTGAAGAAGAAATTCTTAAAGTTATCGGAAACACAAGTTACGAAGTGAATTATTGTACAGTACACTAAAACAAATACACGCGTTATAATTTGAGTGACGACATTCCAAGTACGTTGCTTGAATTGAAGATGAAGTTTTGCAGTTCTATGCAAGGAAATGTTTGCATCTTACACCACGGCAACATGCTTGTTTTAAGGGACAAAAACGTCAAGCATCCTCAAATATAACCACCAACTTAATTAAATTTGGTTCTTTGAAGCAAACTAAGAACAAAATAACCAAAAGGGTTTCCAAAATCTTTGAGATAAGATATCCAAGCCTTTCATGAGCAGCATGCACATGTAATATTCAGTTAGTATATATCTCACATGTGACCTGTGTAATCGCTAGGGTTGGATGCATCCTGCAAGCTAGTCAGTTGTAACAGTTCCACATATACTTTTGTTATTGATACACCATGTCTATAGAGATACCAAGGCTTCACGTTATAATTCATATATATCTCTTCACTGTTTCTAGCTAGTTAGATTAAACCACAACTTCAATCTATATAGCCCTCGGGAAAAAGACACATAAAGTCAGTAGAGAAATTGGTCGAAATGACGACCGTAAATGCTCCTAAAATTAAAATCACTAGGTGAAAGAAAATGAGCATAAGTTCAAATTCTTATGTAACTAAAGAAAAAACGTATATAGGCGACCCAGCAGGTACAAGATGCTTTTGTAGCATGCATACTTAACAAGAACAAAATAAATAAAAAAGTATAAATTAATGTAGTAATATCGTTTACATTGGGAAAAAAAAAAGATAGTCGACAAATCGGTCGAAATGGCGCCCATAAACGTGCCTTAGATCAAGTGGGATGACATGAAAGGAAATGAGCATAAGTTAAGTTCGAATTCTTATCTAACAGAATGAAAAAGGGCTCATAGCCGACTGAGGCATGAGATCCTTTTATGCCGTGTATACAGTATCTTAACAGGAATGAGATGAGAAAACTTATGAATAGGAGACGAAAAGAAAGAATCAGCCTAGTTGATCTTATTCGACTATATATGTATTAAATTAATGAAATACAAAGGGAAATTCACACCTTTTCCAATGTGTGTTAGTAAACACAAGATAAATTAAGAATTGAGGGTATGTTTACTTAACAAAAATGGGAGAATGATAGAATCAAAGAGCTTTGAAATAAAGGAAATTTAAAAAGACAACCGGATCAATTAGCCGCTAGTTGATATGGTTCCTTATTTTCATACATTACATATTACAAGTGAAAACTCAAATTTTTTTTCTTTCAAGTTCACGTGTGTGAGTAAATATAGAGAAGAGTTCAGATGTGAAATGATACTCATACCCATACTTCTGTAAATCGAAGGACCTCAATAATATTTGGCAAAAATTACCTCGAGAATAAAAAATAAATTTAATTCCTGTTCCAATTAAGCAGCTCAAAAATTGTTTCAATACTCATATTTAAATAAACTTAAGAAACTCATAGTCAGAATAATTTCAGTTTTTACTCGCAATAATAATCATGCCATTAGATGAAAGTGAGGGGAGAACAAACCAATTAAAACTTCAGAATAATTTCAATTTCAGTTTCTATTCGCCATAATAGTACTCGTATTTTAATAAAAATAAGAAACTTATAATCGAATTGACTTAATATGACGACCTGAGAACTGTGCTCGAAATTTAATTATCTAAGTAATAAGTCTCACAAAAGTTACATTTTAAGTAGACAAGAGACAAACTTGTGACCATCAAGTGAATGCATCAACCAAAATCATAAAAGTATCAAAATCGTCCACAAGGTGGTTGAATAGGCCCACAAATATCTCCTTGAATTCTTGCAAAAATTATGGAAATTCAGCATCAACCTTTGATTGTGATGGTCAAATATACCAACTTCCCTTGAGAACAAGTCTTGCAAGGGTTATCATTTGATATAACAATATGTCTGCTCAATAATGAATGCCCATTAGAGCTGTTAATCAAGGCCGGTCCAGAGATTTTTAAGGGCTGGAACGAAGCCAAAAAATGTGCCCTCACTTCATATAAAAAATTATTTTTTTTTACATGTAAGACATTGATACAATTATATTTAGAAAAACAGTTCAAACTCAGTAATTTAAAACACACAAAAAAACTAATTTATTTTGTATCGAGAGAAGGAAACGAAAAAATTTCAGGTGTACAAGTAGATAGATTATGAGTTTTGTCTTCCATCTGAACTTTTAAAGTGTTTTTATATAAATCTTGAGGTGTTTTTTCTTATTTGCTAACCTCGTCAATATATGACTAAAAATAATGATATTTTCAAGTCTTTAGGGATATGTATAAGTAATGAATGGACACCAAATTAAACATTTTGATGGCACGTCATATGATTTGCAAATTTGGTCTAAAAATTTAGTCTACACATTACCCTTTGTTGAAGATTAGACTTGAATTGGAACGAATGTTTAAAAATAGCAACCCACATAGTTACTAGCTAGTAATTAAAAATAAATTAACAACCAAACAAAAATTCGTAAAAATTAAAAAAAATAAACATACACATGACATTTCGAACTTAGGACCTTTTGTTAATTTTAAGTACAAAAATCATTGCTTCTAATTAATTAGTCAAATTTTATAAATTTATACTGTTATGAAAAGAAATTTGTAAAAATTGGAATCTAAATAAGCACACATGGTGTTTTGAACCCAAGACCTCCTCATTAATTTCAAACAACAAAATTACCGATTCTAGTTAAATTTCTTTGTCATTAAACCAAATTTTATAAGTTTATATTCTTATGAAAACATATATAAATCTGCACACTAATAATTTTGGTGCCCCTAATTTTTTTGGGCCCCGGGCGGTCGCCCTGCTTGCACTGGGCCTGGGCCGGCCCTGCTAGTAATGATCCTACGCATCATGGTGGATCTTAGATGACCCAGATAGTCAAGCCAAAACATGTCAATTTTTGGATCAATGAACTTCTGACTTATGACATTATGTGCTTCAATTGTCTTTATATATGTATAATACAATTCACTCGATAAACTACACAACTTCTTCAATATACGCTTCTGGGTATCATTAGAGGTGATGCATAAATATTCCACATTATCTACGTTTTTTGTTACAATGTGGTATCGATTCGGACGTATATCTTTAAAACTTAATAAATTTCTTGTAAATCGAGTAGCGTATAACTTATTTTATATGGACAATATTGCTCCATTTGGTAACATGACCTAAGCTTTTCCTGAGCCTTCAGCTACGTCTAATTGGCTAGATATTGTTATTACTTTTGCTTTTGTAAGCATCGGGCTTGAGAAATATTTTCAATCTCAAAGTATCGTATGTGTGGTTGCGCAGTCTACAAGACAATATCTTCGCCATTGTTCTTGTTTTGAGAACTGCCACAATTTTTTTCCATCCTTTCTGAGTAAGACAATCAAAATTAAAAACAATTTATTCATGATAAAAGGGAAGCTGCAATGCCACCTTATTGAATTGAAATGCAAGCTTTAAACAACAACTTCAAATAATGAAAACAAGAGTACAATAAAAATAAAAATGATTTATTCGGACCCATGAACTTCATTCCCCCTTTACACAACAAAGTCAGTTGTGTTCAATTAACCTAATAAATCGAATACTAGATTAGATATATCCATTAGATCAGCCTAGTCAATGAAATTAGTCTCGACATTCTTTCATTTAAGGGAGGCTTGATAAAGATCTACAGGATGTTTCGGTGTACGACAGGTACGTGCCCAACGCCCATTCCAACCACACCTATTATAGA